TGGTTTTCCGAGACAGGGTTTCTCTGCGTAGCTTTGCGCCTTTCCTGGGACTCACTTGGTAGCCCAGGCTGGCCTCGAACTCACAGAGATCCTCCTGCCTCTGCCTCCCGAGTGCTGGGATTAAAGGCGTGCGCCGCCACCGCCCAGCCCGGAGCCCACTTTCTTCTTCTGTCCAGAAGATCTGGGAATTCTCTGCTGTCCCAGACACACTGCGAATTACCTGACCGCAGTTCCTGGGTGCGAGGGGAGAAGGGCTTTGCCAAAGGTGACTTTATTTGGAGTTTCCATCCTAATTCTGACCACACACAGAACAGCATTCACCAAAGTACGGGCCTGTGAGCAAAAGCCAGCCCACTGCCTGTTTTCATATAGCCTGGGTGCTAAGAATGGTTTCACATTTTTTAAAATGATTATTTTAAAAAAGCAAGAATGTTTCATGACACATGGAAATGATGTGAAATTCACATTTTAGTACCCATAAATAAAAAGAATTAAGGACAGAACTTCAGGGACCATCAGAAGAGATCAGCCGAGAGGGGTCCAGTCCCGTGAGGGAGAGCCGCAGGGGAGGCCTGAGAAGCGTGGGGGGCGGGGGGGGGGCAGGGCAGAGCCGAGCCTTGTTCACCATGTTTTCCTGGCAGCCAGGGAGGCTTTCTATCTGTTCTTCACAGAAAGTTTGCAGACTCTGGTTTAGAATTCCAGGTGGGTGGCTGGGGTTGCGGCTCCTAGATAGAACGCTTGTCTAGGGGGTGGGAGCGCCCTGGGTTCCACCTCCAGACCTGTACGTCGTCGTCGAAGGAGGTTATGGAGAGCAGCAGATGGCTGTGTGTGCCGTGGGTCTCCCCTGCAAGCCATCTCCAGACTGTGCCCCTGCCCTGAAGCCGTCTCCTCGTCCAGAGGCCTATAAACAGGCACACCACACGTTGCTGTTCCCCACTCAGGGGCTCTCAGTGCTGTTCTGTTCTGCGTTTGGCTACAGTCGCTACTGGGAGGCATTGAATCAGGGCGCAGTTTGGCATGTCTCAGAAACACCGACCGACCGGACCAGTGAACAAAGACCAATTGCTTGGGTTACTTAATTGCCGCATGAGATCTTCCTCACTGCCTCCCCCTCCCCCCTCTCTTTTCTCTATCAAACTTGAAGCATGCACAGCAACAGTTTCTTCCTCACCTCCCACTCCTCAGCCCACCACAATCTGGAGTTGACTCCTACTACAATCCAGAGGGTGTTCTCAGTCATGTGTCCTCCATCTTGTAATTGCCAGATCTGACCCTCCTCAGCCCTCCTGCATTCAGGGTGGCGCTGGGTAATGCCGGATTCACACACAACCCCCCCCCCCCCAACCAAGCTTCTGCTGCGGCCCTGTTCCTCTCCCTAGGTGCTCCTGGCACTGCCAGATTCTCGGGGATTGGCAGTGGGAGTTTCTCTCTCTCTCTGCTGCACCCACCCTCCAGGACTAGGTCTCCCTCCTGGCTTTCCTGGCTGTCTTCCCTGCAGATTCTGCCAGCAGGAGGCACTGAAACTTCCTGCTTCAGTCTCCAATCCCGCGATTGACCGCCGTGGCCCTTAGTGGTGGTGGTAGCCATGCCAGGATTCTGGACAACAGCCTCCTGGGAGAAGCTCCTTCTTCAGGGTCCTGTGCCTGGATCCTGGCAGCTCCTCAGCACATGTCTCCACAGGGCGACTGCAGGTGTGGACTGCAGGTGTGGACCGCAGGTGTGGACCGCAGGTGTGGACTGCAGGTGTGGACCGCAGGTGTGGCCAGGGCTCTGGCTCAGGCTGGGCCAGTGTCTGACCCCCCACACCCATCTCCTCTAGCTGCACCTGCCAGCAGCCTCCCCCTTTTGACACCTTGACATCTTTGAACCTGACTTTATAGATCAGGTTCTCTCAGCCTAGCATGCCTGAGTCCCAGCACTGGGAGGCTGAGGCTGCTCTGCTGTGAGTTTGAGGCCAGCCTGAACTCCAGGCGTGGCTCGGTTTCCCGCCTGGGCCCTGGGTGTGGGCTGATGAGGTTGGCCCCCTGCAGGCCTGTGTCTCTTTGTCTGACCTCTTTCACCTTTGGCATAGTCTACTTGGTGATTTAACCCTCTGCGTCATCCTGTGTGCTCACAGCTCCCCAAATCAGACTCACCATCCACACCGGGGATCCATCTCCATCCACCTCACCGCCTCTGTGGGCTGTTCCACAGCACCCTAAATCTAACACATTTAAGACCATATTTATTCTCTCGCCCCCCTCCTCTTCCTCTCTGTCTTCCTCCCCTTCCTTCCCCCTTGCCTCCTCCAACCCAGGGCCTCATCCTCACACTTCCTAGACAAGTGCTTTACCACTGAACTACAGCCTTCCCTACCTCACGTACATTTTTCCTGAGGCAGGTTCTCAATGACTTACTCAAGCTGGCCTTGAACTCACTCTGCAGCCTCACCTTGAACTTGCAGCCTTGTACTGCAGGCTCCCGAGTAGCTGGGGTTACAGGTGTCCCGTGTCCCCCCCCCGCCCCCCCCCACCGTCCCGGCTTTCATCTTTCCCTGAGTGCTCAGTAGCCCGACCCTTCAGCTCCTACCCCCTCCGCATCTCAGTGTCCTAGCGCATTTCCCTTGATTCGGGGACCTCCTTGTCCCCAGCTGCTGGGGTGCAAGGCTGCACTGGCATCTGTGCTCTAGACCCTTGGCTGTCATTTTAGTTTTCCTCAAGCTCCAGTTGTTTGAGATATCAGAAGAGTTGGCTGGTTGTGGTGGCAAACTCCTTTAATCCCAGCACTCTGAGTTTCTGTGGGTTCAAAGCCAGCCTGGTCTGCAGAGTGAATTCCAGGCCAGCTACACAGTGAGACTTTCTCTCAAAATAATAATAATAATAATAATAATAATAATAATAATAATATTTTGTATCATGCCCTGTTTTTTTTTTTTTTGCCCATCCAATCATCCATCCATCCATCCATCCATCCATCCATCCATCCATCCATCCATCCAAACATCCATCCGTCTGTCTTGCCACACTGGGCACTGAGCTCAGTGCCTGCACATACTAAGCAGGGACTTTCCACTGAGTTACATCCATCTCCAGCATGTTCCCTAGTGTTGACGTCAGTGTTACCGACTGCGTCAGTCAGCCCCTCTTTGTGCCGTGTCAAAGCCTGTGTGGCAGCTCTTGCCTGGATTTCTAGTGTATCACAATGTGCCTCATCACCATGGGAACTTGTACAACCTTTCCTGTCAACGTCTCGGAGGCTGCAGAGGAGTCGTGATGCGTTTGACCCTCATGCACCCGCCCCGCCCCGCCCTGGAATGCTTTTCTCTTCTCTCACATTCTGGTCAAATTGATTTTCCTTCAAGTCTCTTATGTCAGGTCCTCTTGTTATTGCTGTGATAAAATACTTAACAAAAGCAACGTAAGGAGGACAGGCTGGCTGTGGCTCTGCCTGAGAGGACAGCCCATGATGGTGGGAAAGTTATGGCCTCAGGAGTGAGGGGGGCTGGCTGTGGTGTACATGGAGTCAAGAAGCAGACGGGAACACTGAGGTTCAGCTTTTTCTTTCTCTTTATTCAGGGCAGGACTCCAGCATCATGTGTGATGCCAGCCTTACTTAGGGTGCCTTCTCATTTCAACCTGGAAATTTCCTCACAGACCCGTCTAGAGGCTGTTTCCATGGTGATTCTAAATTTCAAGTTGACAGTCAGACATACTCTCACAGCGCTAAAAGTTGTCCCCTGTCCCCTTTACCCCCCCCCCCCAACCTCATACAACCTCTTAAAGTCTCAACACTTTGTTGCCATCGTCATGACAACATGAGATCACTTAAAAGGAAGATTTACTTCGGCCCCTGGTTTCAGTTCATGGTCACTCAGCGTCATCATCTGAGTCTGTGGTAAGGCAGGGAGGGAGTGGAGCCACAGAGCGGCTGAGAGGGAGAGGGAGGGTGGCAGTGAGTCTGTCATGTCATCCTGTCTTCCAGCTAACACACACACACACACACACACACACACACACACACACGTTTATTGTGGTGGTTAATCACCCTGGGAACTTTAAAATCCTGCAGGGTCTACCACACAGGTAAATCCTGGTGTGCAGGATGGGCCCGTCATTAGGACTCCTGGTAGCAAGTATGGGCACCAGGACCTCCAGACTCTTGGTGGTGACGGTTTGGCTACTAACAGGGTCCTGCCATCCTGGTGAGGAGGGTGTCTTTTTAAATTTTTTTCCTTTATGTGTGGGTGTTTTTCCTGCACGTATGTCTGTGCACCATGCGTGTGCACCATGTGTGTGCTTGGTGCCTATGGAGGCCAGAAGAGGCTGTCAGATCCCCTGGACCTGGAGTTACAGATGATTGTGAAGCACTATGTGGGTTCTGGGAATTGAACCCAGGTCTTTTAGAAGGACGGCCAGTGCTATTACTGCCTGAGCCTTCTCTCTACCCCAAGGATGTCCTTGATGTCTTTCTTGGGAGCCTCATCCATATATTTCTGGTACTAGGCCACCTTGGAGATGGACTGTTGGGTAGCATAAAACTGGACCACATGACCACCACCCTTCACATGGACCTGGGTGTCCACACAGCAAACTGTTCTTTGTCCAGGAACAGACTGGCTCCAGTAACTTGTATTTCAGCATGTGGCTCCATCACCATGGGGGGACGCCTGGTCATCCTGATGAAACTGTTTCCTCATTTGCGGTGTGCCAGAACTGTGTGGACTGGAGCAGACCTGAGCGCCTCGGCACATGCTGCTGCTATTGGTAGTTTAATCTTAGTCGTCAACACAACTGGATTTAGAATCACCATGGAAACACTGCTGGGTGTACCTATGAGGGTGTTCCAGATAGGTCACCATGGAAACACACTGCTGGGTGTATCTATGAGGGTGTTCTGGAAAGGTCACCATGGAAACACACTGCTGGGTGTATCTGAGGGTGTTTTGGAAAGGTCACCATGGAAACACACTGCTGGGTGTATCTATGAGGGTGTTTCCAGAAAGGTTTAAGGCAAGAGGGACACAATCTTCTCTAAAGAGGAGCTGCGTTAGCCTGTGGGCTGGGGTCCCAGATTGACTAAAAGGGAGGAAGACCTTCCTGGGGGTCTCGGAGGAAGAAGTGGGGTCTGAGAGCCAACAGGAAACTCAGCCCGTCACGGTGTTCTGCCAGCAGGCAGCTCTGTCTCCTGACCCAATGCGATGTGACCAGTGGCCTTGTGCCTGGTCACCATGCCTTCCCCACCATGACGGACTGTCTCCCCACAAACCCTAAACCAACACACACCCTTCCTCCTTAAGCCGATGCACACCCGCTGTGTTGCCACAGCAACAAGAAAAGGAATGAACACACACCCTGTGTGCACATGCACAGTGCAAGGAACTAATACACACGTATAGATGTGCACATAAGCAGTGCATTTTCACATCTATAGTAAAGCTTATTCAGTTACAGTAATAAGACAGACCACCAACGGCAACACGTTATTGTGAAAGTTAAGAGAGGGCCAGCCGCCGGGCGTGGTGGCGCACGCCTTTAATCCCAGCACTCGGGAGGCAGAGCCAGGCGGATCTCTGTGAGTTCAAGGCCAGCCTGGGCTACCAAGTGAGCTCCAGGAAAGGCACAAAGCTACACAGAGAAACCCTGTCTCAAAAAATGGGGGGAAAAAAAAGAGGGGCCAGCAAGATGGCTCAGCGGGTCCAAGTGTGTGCTGGGTAAAGCTTGCAGCCTGTTTGATTCCTGGAGCCCTCAGTGAAAGGAGGAACAAACACTTGAGAGTGATTCTTTGCTCTCCACATATATGTCCTAGCATGTTCTCTCTCTCACACACGGGTGCACACACATGCACACACGGTATCTTATGTGATTGTCAACCACTTTCCCCTGTCTTTCCTAAGCTACAGTTACCACCTTTTCACTTACAGGAAGCCTTTAAAGCTTGACCTTTTGTTGTTTCCAAGTCTCCTCCCCTCCTCTTGCCCTTTGGGGCCATTCTTAGTTAAAACAAGGGTCATTAGAACACAGGCACTCACGGCAGCCACAGTCTAACCCATAATACCTCAGGGACCACGTGGCCAGGTGGCCAGTATGGCGTGAGACGCTGGGCAAACATAATTCACACCTCGGTGTCGTGATACATTGTGCACCCCAATAAAGCTTGCCTGGGGATCACAGGACAAAGCCAGCCACTGTATTAAACATAGAGGTCAGGCAGTGGTGGCACACGCCTTTAATCCCAGCACTAGGAAGGAAGGAAGATGGCAGGACACAGGAAGGTATACAAGCATGAGTAAACAGGAAATCTCTCTCTCAAAGCTGAGGATTTTGTAGAGATAAGAATTTGTGGTTGGCTTGTTCTGTTTCTCTGATCTTTCAGCTTTCACCCCAGTATCTGGCTCCAGGTTTTCTATTAATAAGACGGTTTACCAATTCGTTTTACATCTCCGGCAGGATGGAGTGACGTAAGCCTCACAGGAGGCTTGCTATGCTGGTGTGGTGGCCCACACCTGTAGCCCCAGCACTCAGGAGTGAGGAAGGAGGGCCACAGAATTCGAGGCCAGCCTGGGCTACATAGTGAGACCAGGTCTGCCCTCCCCAAGCCTTAGGTTCAATTCCCAGCACCAAATGAATCGGGCATGATGGAGCCTCCCAGTAATCTCAGCACTGTGTTTGTGGAGGTTTGAGGATCACAGTGAATTCCAGGCCAGCCTGCGCTACATAGTGAGACCGTTTCAACCCCTCTTGCAAAGTCTTGGGTTCAGTCCCCAGCACGGGGTAAACCAGGTATGATGGTGCTTGCCTGTAATCCCAGCACTGATCACAAGTTCAAGGTCATCCTCAGATGCATAGTGAGTTCTAGGCCAGCCTGGGGGGTGCATGAGACCCTGTCTCTGCCCCATCCCAAACAATACGACAAAATATGTCCCCCCAAATATTGTTTATTTCTGTAGTTTTCTACTGGGTATTTGCAGGCTGAAGTTGATTCCAAGTGCTGACCTCTGGAAGATGAAACCTAAGGGAGACCCCCTGGAATTTGTAGCCCCAGGTTCCGCGCGATTCGGCCCCGTTATGGCGTTCTGCCGCCAGGCGGCGCTGCTCTGGAGAGCCAGACAGCCACCTGCTGGAGCAGGACCTTCCACCAGGAGGCAAAGGTCTCCAGAGCTGCCCTTCTCGGCCCAGCCGCCTCCGCCCGGCTGGCGCAGAGTCAAGTCTCCAAGAGGTGGCTGGCCCCAAGTCTCTCCTCAGCGACTGGTGATGTCGAACTCTACACTTCTGTGATTGGCTTAGCCGAAATGAGGCAGACAGCAATTGGAGATGCTCTGTGGAAACGTGATGTGGATCTGGAAGGGAGCTGGGCACCCCGGACTCGGTGGTAGCTCGCATTTACTCAGGGTGTGAAGGTATGGACCATGAGCAGAAGCCAGGAGCCGGGCTGCTGCAGCTGCTGCAGTTTCTGTGGCTGCTCCCCCACGCCTGGGCGGTGCCCGAAGGTAAGACACTGGCTCCCCTTCGCGTGCGTCCGTCTGTCTGTCCGTCCGTGAAGATGAGTCTTGGGCTTGATGAGTGCCAGGAGGGGTCTGTGTCAGTGGGAACTTGGGGAGAGGGCTGCTGTTCGCGGGTGGCAAGCACCCCAGGCATTTCACACGCTCTGTCTGTGTGCAGACTTAAGAGCTTAAGAGACCTGTGCAAGTCCACAGCGTGGGAAATGACAGAACGGGGGTTGGAACAAAGTCCGAGTTATTGCCGGGCCAAGTGTGGTGGCGCAGGGCAGTAATCCCAGCACTTAGAAAAGTGAAGGCAGGATGGTCAAGAGCCCAAGGCCAGCCTCAGCTACATAGGCCGGGTCTCAAACCTCTGCACAGTGATTTGCATTCCAGTGAATCAGGAGTCCTGCCCCAGGCTGTCCTCAGCTTGTCTCTTAGTTTGTTCTCAGGGACGGTTGGGGCAGGGTGTAAGTGCAACCGGGAAGGTCCCTTCTCAGTGTGTTTGTTATTCTGGGTGTCCGTTAATAAGGCTCCTTCTGTCTCGGGGATTCCTGTCAGGAGTTTCAAAGCAGACTGTTATTCCGTGTGGCCAGGGGTTCAGGTCCCCCAGGCCTGTCGGTGCACCGTCTGGAGTGTTTAGTCAGGGAAGAGACTGTCAGACAGGCCAGGCGGCACTGCGGTGGCCGGGCAGGTCCAGAGACTGCCTTACTTTACACTTGGGGCTGGGCAGCCTAGACCACGTCATTATGGCTTAGGGAGGCCATGGCCCTTCCCCACATCCCTCAAGGCAGGAGTCACACCACTGGCTTCTGAATTAGATGAAGGTGTCCACCGTGCGAGGGTCCTGGGCTTGGTTCAGGTTCCCTCCGGGGCTGGTGCCTTTGAGCAGGACGCAGGCTGCATCCGTGACTTCCTTCTGAGACTTTTACTTTCTTTTTTGTTAGTTTGATTTTTTTCTGAGACATTCTCATGTGCCCCAGGCTGGCTGTATGTAGCGGAGGCTGATTTTGGACCCCCGATGCCCCGCCCCCTCTACCTCCCAGGTACTGGCATCGCAGATGTGTGCCCCCACGCCTGGCTCTGCTCTTCACAGGTGTAGACAGTTGCTTTTTCATGTGTAAGGAGGAACCTGCAGCAGGTGCAGGAGGGGCGAGGTCATATCTCTACGCACCCCCAAAATAGAGACCTTACTGTTTCCTACCTTAAAGAGAAAGTCCCTGAACTCACGTGTCTTTCCAGCTCCTCCTCCTCCGGTGTGGTGGGATGGCCTGCAGAACCACACCTTCCGGCACACTGTGTTCTGCCAGCTCGGGAATCCCAGCATAGGGCTCTCTGAGTCCTATGACGAGGACCAGCTCTTCACCTACAACTTCTCCCAGGACACCCGAGTACCCCGGCTGCCTGACTTTGCAGGCTGGGCTCAGGAACAGGGAGACGCCTCTGCCATTTCATTTGACAAGGACTTCTGTGAGATGCTGGTCCAGCAAGTGGGTCCGAAGCTTGAAGGGCAAATCCCAGTGTCCAGAGGTCAGGAACAAGGAGTGGAGTTTGGGGGGCTGAAGTCTCACTCCCCCTAACTTCACGTCTTTCATCCTTCACACCTCCTTGTTCTGCTTGCTTTTCTTTTCTGCCTCAACACTTCTCCCCACAAGCTGCAGTGTGTCTGCTGTGTCTGTGTGGGAAGGAGACGGTCAAAGGCACTGGAAATATGCTGAACTTGATGACGTTACGGGGGTCAGTTCACCCCACTGAACGAATGTCCGCATCCTCGATACTGTGCCCGCAAGATGGAGGGGAGAATGGAGGGATCCGGGGATGAGCTTCATGAGAAGCCAGGGTCAGACACCAACCTGGATACACACAGGAAGTCAGCCAGGGTCGGACACCAACCTGGATACACACAGGAAGTCAGCCAGGGTTGGACACCAACCTGGATACACACAGGAAGTCAGCCAGGGTCAGACACCAACCTGGATACACACAGGAAGTCAGCCAGGGTCAGATGTCAATCTGGAGTCTGTCAGAGGGGTCCATGGTGTCCTAGCTTCAGTTCTTGCTGGGAAGTCCCTTCTCAAAGCCCCAGATGTCCTCATCTCTGTCTCGGCTCCATCTGTCCTCTCCTCCATGAGTCCCCAAACAGTGGCGTTGTCTGAATGTTACCCTTCTTTCCCTGGCCCCCCGGCCCCCCAGGTTTGCCTGTGCCTGAGGTGTTCACACTGAAGCCCCTGGAGTTTGGCAAGCCCAACACGCTGGTCTGCTTCATCAGCAACCTCTTCCCGCCGACCTTGACTGTGACCTGGCAGCATCACCTCAACCCCGTGGGGGGAGCCAGCCCCACGTTCATCTCGGCCATCGATGGGCTCACCTTCCAGGCCTTCTCGTATTTAAACTTCACACCGGAACCCTATGACCTTTACTCCTGCCTCGTGACACACGAGATTGACAGCTACACACCCATTGCCCACTGGGGTGAGGCCTTTCCCCCGGAAGTCTGCTCCTTTGTGGGGTGGAAAGGCTCAGGCCCATGGGAGAGGTCCTCTTGTTTTCCTGTCTCACTCTAGCCAGCTTCAGGCTTCTCTGCCTCAGTCTCCCTCGCTGTTCCCGAGTCCCTCTGGGCAGAGTGCCCTCCCCCTCCCCCCAGGCCTCCAGCTGACCTCACTCTTTCTGTTCTAGTACCCCAGAACGCCCTGCCCTCAGAACTCCTAGAGGATCTGCTGTGTGGTATGGCCTTTGGCCTAGGTGTGCTGGGCATCATCATGGGCATTGCCTTCTTCATCTGGTCCCAGAAGCCTTGCTCAGTCGGTGAGTCATTTGGGAGAGTGAGGGGACCAGGTACGAGGGTGCCAGTGTGGGTGTGCCGGGAGTCTCCTCTGGTCTGGGGGGCAAACAGTGATAGACTCTTGGGTGTGGGGCCTGTATGCAGCACGATGGGGCTACATCCTGCTATCTGGGGACCCTGTTACACACAGTTATTGGGGACCACAGAAATAGCTTTGAGTAGGGGGTGAGGTGACCTGGGGACCTGTAAGAAAGATGCTTAGAAGGGCAGAGGGCGGATACAAAGGGACGGGAAAGTGAATGGGACGGAGATGCATGATGTGAAAGACACAAAGAACAAATAAAAAGGAGGAAAACAGATGCTGGGAGGTGACCCGAGAACAAGGACTCAGCTAGGTGTGCTGAGAGGTCGGGGGAGGGGAGAGGGCCTTCCTGGTGACGTTCCTGCACCCTGCTTTCTCCTCAGACTGATTCTCCACCAGAGCTTGGAACAGCACAGCCTTGCCACAACCCAGCCCGCTGGACCTCCTTCTTGTCGGATTTACTCTGGACTCTTGACTCCAGTGGTTTGTCGTTTCCGATTCTGCATTCCTTAACCTGGACACAGCTCCTCAGACAGGGAGGTGGGGAAGTCCCTCTCCCAGCCAAGCTCCTGTCCCCTGATCTCAGCAGAGCTTCTTATCCATCAGCTTGTGTAAAATGCATGAGAGAGGACGGTAGAGTTTCTGTAGTCAATAAAATGGTTGAGGAAATTGCATGTGTTTCTGGTTCCCCCATACTATGTTGCCAGAAGCTTGTTAACGCTCTTTTCCTTGAGGAATACCCGCTCCTTCACCCCTCAGGGCACCTGGGAAAACAGGAGCTCCGGGACAGGAGGCTCTGCCTCTAGCTGCTCTCTGATTGGTCAGATCGGTTCAGTCCAGACATCCTCTTTGAGCTCCTAAAGTGAAGTGGGAGCAGCTGGTGAGGTCAGGAACTCTCAGAGCCACGGTGGGACGCTGTCCCGGCAGATGTGGGAGCTGTCGGCACATGACCGCTGCTGGCAAACCGCCTCACACACGTTTTATTCTTTGCTTTCCGTGGGACGTGGGAGTTGCTGCGGAAGCAGCTGAGGCTAACTCATGAAATTCATTTGATAGTGGCAAGGCCATCTTCGTGTTTCACATCGTATCAGAGTCTAAGGGACCATCCAGTTCTTCCCAGGCGTTGGCTCTTCCCCTGGACCACGTCATTCTAAGAGCAGAGTGTGCACTGATAAAGACTGTGGGAATGCATGGCTGTTGGAGTTTCGCTGTGTGCTCTTGGATGAGTGTCTTGCTGTCTCTGTTCCTTAACGTCAATTTTCTTTTTTTTATTATTTTATTTTATTTTACAATATAATTTAATTCTACATATCAGCCACGGATTCCCTTGTTCTCCTCCCTCCCGCCCCCTCCCCTTCTCCCCAGCCCACCCCCCATTCCCATCTCCTCCAGGGCAAAGACTCCCCTGAGGACTGAGATCAACCTGGTAGACTCAGTCCAGGCAGGTCCACTCCCCTCCTCCCAGGCTGAGCCCAGCGACCCTGCATAAGCCCCAGGTTTCAAACAGCCAACTCATGCAATGAGCACAACCTTCACGTCAATTTTCAATGAAGGATGACGGCGGTGGTGTCCCTGTGTAGAATTGGCTACTTATTTGTTTGTTTTTGTGATGCTCTGCCTTCTTTTCCCATTTTCCATATGTACATACACGTTTTGTGTGTGTGTATGTGTGTGTGTGTGTATGTGTGTGTGTGTATGTGTGTGTGTGTGTATGTGTGTGTGTGTGTGTATGTGTGTGTGTATGTGTGTGTGTGTGTATGTGCACAGCCCTGTGGGAGGTAGATGCCAGGAATCCTCTCTTCTTCGACCTTCCACCTTACTCACTGAGGCAGAGTCTCTCACCGGCCTGGCTAC